TTATAAGGTTTTACAATGTATATTAGAAGGTTTGACTAGAGTATCAGACGGTATTTATAAGATATTGTAAGATTTTTCCTACTATTTTATAAGGTTTTACAAGTTATAAGGTTTTACAAGTTTTTAATAAGGTTTTACAAGTTTATAACTTGTAAAACCTTATAAGTACCTTGTAAAACCTTTTAAAATACATTGTAAAACCTTACAAAACACTTGTAAAAACTCTGTAAAACCTTTAAAATACTTTGTAAATTTTTTCCGCCAAAAAAATTGCGGAATCACTTTTCCTGCAAAAAAAAAATTTTGGCGGGAAAATTGCGGGATCACGTTTCCCGCCAAAAATTTGCAGGATCACTTTTCCCGCCAAAAAATATTTTGTATTTTGTGGACCTAATTTTGTTTCAAATAAGGGTAAAATGGTCATTAAAAATTAAAATAGGGCAAACTTAAAAGTGGACTCTCAAAGGGGGCATTTTTGAAAAAGGGTATTGAAAAAAGGGCATTTTTAACAATTTTTAATAAGGTTGACACCACAAAATATTTGAAAATTTGATTGTGCAAGCAATTTTGGAAATAACGAATAATAGATTGTGCACGCAATATTTTTATTAGGATTCTCAAATAAAAATATAGACTCCACGCACGGGTTGAATTTGGTATATTATATACTAAATATATGTTCATAACATATTCGATTACGCGAATAATTGGTAAAATTCCGTAGTTACCTCAAACAAATCTCTACTTCAAGGGTTTTTGCTCTTAGCCTCATTTGGAGACTGTTCACGGCCTTGGGCTCATTGTGGGTAGCATGGTCTAGACGTTATCTCTTCCCTAATGCATTATTTTGGAGTAAAAGTGAAGGGACCCTAGGATCGTGGATATGGAGAAAAGTACTTAAGCTAAGACCACTAGCAGCATCTCTCATGTGTATGGAGGTAAAGAATGGGAACTCCACCATGTTTTGGTGGGACAATTGGACTGGTGCAGGTCGCCTCATTGACATAGTGGGTGACGTCGGGCCACAACATTTTGGGCTTTCCCATCATGCCACTGTTTCGGAGGCTTGCCTTAACAATCGATGGACTTTAAGACGAGCCCGGGGACAACTCTACAATACTGTTATTGGTCTCCTCAGCCCTATCACTCCCCCCACGCCTCTTGCGGGTAACGACATTGTTAAATGGATGCACAAAACAGGGGAGTACCACTCTTCCTTCTCATCAAAGTGTACTTGGAATCTTATTAGGGACATCTCCTCTAAGGTCTCCTGGTCTACATTGGTTTGGTTCCCTCAAGGTGTTCCAAGGTACTCTTTCATTACGTGGCTTGCTGTCAAGGATAGACTATCAACAGGCCAACGGATGCGGCGTTGGGGTCAAATCCAATCATGCCCGCTATGTGGTGAGCGAGATGAGACGAGGGATCATATTTTCTTCGTTTTTCCTTATGTTTATGCAATCTGGTCTAGTCTATGCACTCCTCTCCTGCGGCGTCATACAACACCGGATTGGCAAGACACAATTCGTGCGATTCTAGCTAAGAAATCTCCATCCATCGATGTCATCCTTGTCCGTATGGTTTTCCAAGCAACAATTTATTTTGTGTGGAGGGAACGCAATGGTAGAATCCATAATTCTAGCCACCAGCTCTACCGTAACCTGACGAAGATGATCGCCTCCGACATTGCGCTCTGCATCCAAAGCCTTAACTACGGGCCGCAGCACAAGAACGCATCACTCTCCGGCCGATGGTCCTCACTCACCGGCTCCATCACGTGAATCGTGTTCTTAGCATCTGTTTTTGTTTTTTAAATACTATGTAAGGTTTGATATGGTTCCCTAAACATGTTCCAAATCAAACCCAGCCATCCCAAACTCTTTGTACATATTTTTTCTTTTTGTTGATTAATAAATTGAACATTTCAACAAAAAAAAAAATCTCTATTTCAACAACCAAAGAATTAGAAATTGAAAAAAGAATTTCCTAAATTAATTCCAAATAATAGCTAACTTTCTTAATTAATTAAAAATAATCTACGTTTTAGAAGCGATTCATTTATAATATTTTGATTTTTGATCTAACTGAATTATATGCAATCTCATTTTGTGGTTGTTGATATAATTTAACTCATTTTAGACCATATTAATTTATTAAATAATTTTACAATTCTATTTTTATATCTTAAAAAAATATATCCATAATTGAGTATAATTAAAAAAAATATATATATATATATATATTCATTCTAATATTATATATAGGGAGTGACAAAAATCTAATTATAGTTTTTCAATTACTATTATAATATATCACAACTTTATTCTAAAATATATAATATATAAATTTTGTAATAAATAAAATTTAATCCGTACTGTAGTACGGGTGATGATCTAGTTCTTTGTAAATAGATATCAAAACAAAGAATTTTTTCAAAAGGTACTTCAAAATATTAATTTTCTTTTTGGTAAACAAGTATATTAGATTGACTCAAGTAAGCCAATGCTAAAGAATATTGTTTAGATAAGTAATAATACGCGGCTGGGTATGAACTTTTCGTGCTAAAGATAAAGAAACCAAAGATAAATAAAGTAAATCAAACTCTTTCTTGTCACTCTGAATCGACTCCAAATATGTAGAGAAAGTAGGACACTCTTGCGATGAGCAGTTTAAAAGAAAAGCTACACCTCGCTTGTCTTGGCCGATCATACATCTCATCGCCAAGACTAGTGTTTCTACCTATGCATGTAGTGAGGTTAAGCTTCTTTGAAGATTTTAAGCTCCTATATCTTACGTTCCATCATTCGGATAAGAACAAGACCATCCTAGTAGTGATCACTTTCTTTCCAAGAATCATCTATGAGAACACCGATATTCAGATCCCTTTTTCCCTAGATCTCTAGATGAGAGTGAATATCCGCCACCATCGATCCTAGATTATCATCCGAAATCTCTACCTGAGCTAACTCACATGCTTGCTCCTCATTTTCCGCTAGCCGCAAAATCGCAAGTGGACTTTTATCCACATAATTATAAATCTTATCATTTCTAGCTTTCCACAATTACAAAATGATCCATGGAAATGATATGCATGTGTAGACATCATATGGTGTTATTCAAAACAAGTAATCAATATTTGCATAAAGTGAGTCTGAAGAAAAACCTCTGGTGCCGTTGGGATCTATGATAAAGCCCATGTCTGATAAAGCCCATGTCTGGCGCGCTAGTGGGCATTCAAAAATAACATGATTGATTGTCTCTTCTGGATCTTCACATCTATCACATCATGTATCACATTTAATACCGTTTCTTCGAAGCTTTGATGTAACGGAGACACACCCAGCTAGAACTTGCCACATAAAATGTGTTACAAGAAATGAAAAGTAATGATATCGATAAGTTGTTTGTCACTACTACCTTGCAAATAATGAAAAAAAATGATATTGTTTGTAACATTTATTTCAAACCATTAAAAAGAGAATCTCTATAACAAAAGAAATCTATAATATATCAAAAAGAAACTACGTGTAGTCATTTTAATCAATGTAAAAAAATTATAATGTATCTAGAAAAAAATGAAGTGTATTTATTTATAAATTTTATTTTCCATATCTATACTGAACCCTATAATATTAGATAGAGTTAACTTTTCTTGAATAATAAAATTTAAGTAATATTAAGTGTAGTTATTTTAATTAATGTAAATGTAATTCCTCTATATTAAAAATCTTGGGTAAGAAAAGTGTCTTTAATATTCCCTCAGTTTAACTTAAGGTTATGTTTTAAAGATTTTTTTTCATTTTAATGATGTTTTCAAGTTGTTATCTAAACATTAAATGTATTTGATAAATTTTTAACTATTTATTTGTAAAATATTTTTTTATTGGTTGAATTAGTTTTAGTAAATGATGTTTCTGTGTAAAATATGTAAACTATATGAAATTTATATCATTTATGAATATGTGTGCAAAAACCTTAAACATCAATTAAATAAAAAAAAGTATATTAATGTGGGAAGAACTATTTTAAGCATGTACTTAATTGTATAGTGGATAAACATAGATTGGATTTTCTGAAAAGAAAAAGAGAAATAATATAGATTGCTAAAAAAAAAAACAACCATGGAAGATTATTAATATTAAGGGACAATTGTTTTTTTTTTTTAAGATGAGAAACAAACTATACAAACATCAATAAGCGATCGGCAACATGCAAACAATATTGGCGATGAACATGATAGCTTTGATTATCATGCTATCAATATTTATACAAACATTAGGAAATGATCTTGCACCTGCTCCATCCCAGACATTACCTTGTCTGGATGACGTGAAAACAATTCCAAATTGTGTAAAAGCAGTGTTTCACTTCAAATTCAAAGAGGTCACAGAGACGTGTTGCACTATCCTTCTCACCCTTCCCGATGATTGTTTCGGGTTTTTGTTTCCTATTCCTCGTGTCTACCATTTTCTTCTTAAGTCTGCTTGCAAAAATACTTATAATCACTATTGATAAACATTTCGTGATATTTTGTTAATCAAATGTAAAAAATCATCACTAATTATATTTGTGGAAAAAAAAAATATATATATATAAATAATTTTTAGACTATTTTAAAATAGGACTTGTGAAACAGAAATTTTTATCTTACTATGGCTACACACCGCAAGATTTACAATTTTTAAAACTCAGACAACATCACTTTTTCTTAATTTGATTGTTTTTTTTTTTGTCTAAATGAACAATGGTGAATATGGATTCTTATTAGTTTTAATTAGGGGCATGATCTTAAGTTATTGTGGGATATGTGGAAAAGCATGATCAACCATGTAGGTAACAAGATATCAATGAGAAAATTGAAAAACCAACGCAGTGGTCAATTATGAATGGTCATGTTAGCTCAATAGTTATTGGACTAGAATATCTTAATGATTAAAATTCGGGAATTGAGTCGTCGACGACAAACAAGGAGCCTATGCGATTGTGAAGGCGATTGTGAAGAGTGTTAGAGCAGTGGAAGGTTTTTAAAGGGATTTTCAACAATATAAAAAAATAAAATAATAAAAAGTGAGAAAAAAAAAGAGATGAGAATCGGTTATCATTTGAGAACCTTTAAAATTTCTTGAGAGACTACTTTCATATATATAAAAACTTGTGATCGATTTTTTTCTAATTTTAAATAAATAATTAAATTAAATTATATGTATTAAAATATTATATTTGAAAAGACTTTGAGAGTCTCTACTCACTGCACATGTTTTTAGAACTTATTATGATAAGTTGCGCCGAATTACTTCTTTGGAATTTTTCTATTTTTAAATTAACAGATTATTAAAACAATGGATTTTTTTTTAATGTTAGCACTATAATTTAGTGTACTCAAATGTCAAAACTAAAATTCATGTGGATGAGAAATGCATATTTATATTTGGTTGTTTAAATAGTACAAAATGGAAAATTAGAAAAAAAAAACTCAAGTTGGAACTGTGAAAGATGGAAAAAGTCATGTGGTATGTAAGAGAGAATATTTGTGTCCATACCAAATTATGGTGCAAAGCAAATAAAACATGTCCATACTAAAATGGACTAGACTCAGGTTTTGGGTATGGGTAAAATGGATAGAGGCTCGTTACTATCTTTTGGCTCATACTCTTTATGTTTCACAAAGAGTGTCTTGTTTTGGAATCTTATTTTTCTTTTTTGACAAAGACGCTTGTTTTTCATTTTAGTGTAACTTTTGGAACCAATTTCATTATATACGTTTAACTCAAAGCTATTTTTCTTTAAATTTCAGTCATTATCATTTAATCAATTACTTATTAAATAGGGACATATATGTATAATTAATTGTTTATTGATTTGTGTGAGATGTGTTAAAATGATATTTTTTTTTATGAAATAGAGAGTGTATGTATTTTTGAAATTTGTGGCTGATTTAGTCAACATCTCTTTTTTTTTCAACATTGAAACTGTTGGAATAATGGCAATAAATCTGACATGAAATCTCATCTCCATCAAAGCTCATTTTAATAAAAATAGAGTGGTTTTGCTTTTGCAAAAAAAATAGAAAAAGCGTTTCCTGTAACAATCTCTTTCATTCACATACAGAATAAGATATAAATCTTCCTCCTGTATCTTCTCTCTCATTTTTTCCTTGAGTTTTTATAGAATATACATTACTAGCGTTCGTTAGACTTCTGATTTTGAATGGTATGGTTTACCAAAAAGTTATTAAAATTATCCTAAATTACCCGAACATGAATTTGACTCTTGTCCATTCTTTTAGTGATTTAATGTATCTGAATTATTCATGTATCGTATCATTATAATCTGACTTATCTTAAAATATAAATTTGAAGTGTAATTTTTTATATCCAAAATATTTTAATTTGAGTTGTTTACTCGCTGTTATCCAAATTTTTATCTGAAATAAATTTATTTTTGTATCAGTTAGTGTTAAAAAGCTACTGAATCTGGCAGAATTCAACTGAATTTAGTTTTATGCAAATGGTGTTTTGCTGAATTTTTTTATAGTGTTACCATTTACAACCTTTGTTGGATAATATATATACTAAATTTTAACCCGCGGTACACCGCGAGATGATTTATTTTTAAAGTTAGTATAAAAATATTTTGTAAATTTTATCTCCTTATAAAATATTTATTTATATTATAGTTTACAATTGTTATTAAGTAACGGTATACCACGAGTCCACGAGACAATTGTTAATAAGCTAGGGATTTAACCCATATTAAAGCGGCATGTTAATGGTATTTATAAATATTAATTCAAATTCGTCCGCCATATAAACCCGTTCCGAAATATAACCCGTTCCGTAATTTCTTAATCCGTCCCGTGATTTATTTTTATTTTAAAATTTAATGATTATTTATTATATATAAAAGTTTATAAATCATATCATTCTCTAAGTCATTTATATTTTAATAAACTAAAGATTTAGTCTGTATTAAAACGGCATGTTAATGATATTTTAAAATTTTATAAATATTGATTCAAACTCGTCCACCATATAACTTCGTCCAAAATATAACCCGTCCTGTAACTTCTTAACACGTTCCGTGATTTGTTTTCTAAAAGTAGTAATTTTTAAAATTTAACAATTATTTATTATATATAAAAATTTGTAAATTGTATCATTTTCTAAGATATTTATATTTTATAGTTTATAATTTTTATTAAGTAACATTATACCACGGGACAATTTTTGGTTTTATACAATATTTTCTAAATGAGATTCATTTAATATGTCTAATATTGGTGGTATTAAAAAAATTAAGGATTTAATCCGTATTGAAGCGGCGGATTAATGATATTTTAATTTTATTATTATTGTTGATTCAAAAACCCGTCCCGCCAAATCCGTCTGGCCAAAAAACTCATTTATTTTATTAATGTTGATCTTATTTATGATACGATTCTGAATCATTGTCTAAATATTTTAGTCGATGTAGAACGTTGAACACACATTTTCGTCAATTGGACAATATATGTCCGTTTTTTAAATTTCGAATCACAATATATGCAGGAAAAAAATTGATTTTTTTTTTACTTTATGTATTATATGATGATTCAAAACAGTTAAAAACAAATCAAACAAAGATGATAGAAGAATTATAATTCTAAATCTTAATCAAATCTTCTAAATATCTAAATTATTAAATATGGAATATCCGGTATATGAGTTGGGTTAAATATAATCCGACCCAACAAGCTTTTTATGACCAAAATTTGTAAACGGGTCGGATATCCAAAGTATGCAAGAACAATTTTATCCACCCGACTCAAAAATAACTGCAAAAATACTAGTATAGATATATATTTATATTTTCTTTGTTGGATAATATGGCGTGAGCGCATATATAAATATAAAGGTTAATTACGGGCCAGACCCATGTTTTATGTTTTTCTTTCAGGTTTTGACAAAGTGGGGAAAAGCTTTCACCATTTGACAATTATGTCAATTTCAGACAAAAATGCCCTTCTAGCCGAACCGGTGTACAGTTACAGCGAACGAAATCGTCAGGCGAGTTGGTTACGTACACAGTATCTCGTTAGCTACAGTTGATTAGTTTTGTAATATTTCCGTCGGATGTACAGTGTACACCGAACGAATAAAAGCATATAAAATATGGTGTCATAAATGGTTTAAATGCTGAAAAAGTTGAGACATGACTCATTCCAACTATAATTAATACAAACTCATCATTACATCTTATTTTAATCCTCTTAAATCATAAAATCGTACACTGTTTAGATTTTGTAAAGAGAACTAAGAAAAAACATAAACTTCCCCTAAATATCTATGAAGGAATGAGATTGACGCCATTTTGATCTTGTTGTTTACGGCCATTTTGATCTGTTGTTTAACAAAGTTTTCCGGCGAGAAAGCAGTGGTCGTGGTAAGTAATGAAGTTGTAAATATAAATTTTAGTGATTACATACACTTTCAATGAAAACAAAATTGATTTGGATACAAAACTTCAAGAAATTGAATTTATTCCTCTCTTGATTCTATATTTATTCTGTAGTAAATATTAAATGACGAGATTCAATGTGCATTAAGTGTGTAGTTGCAAAGTCTTTTTTTAGTTGGAGGTATAAAAGTTGTTCTCAGTTGCATTTAATGGGGTTCTCCTGAATTTATGATGCATGATGTTAATGGAGATTCCAGTATTTATTATGGTTGGTGATTGGATAGTGACAGAAGAAAAATAGAAATTTGAACCTGAGAAAAGAAGCTATGGTCGGTGTGTACGTGTTAGGGAAAACATGACGTACACGGATTTGGCACGTACATTATGTGAGGTTTTCAATTTGAAGTACAAAAAATGGCAGCCAATAATTAGTTACTGGATGCCGGGAAATATGTCAACTATGATAGAACGTACACGCCCTCCTGTCTACATTGACAATCAAATGAGCTTGGATACATTCATCCTGATTCGTGTTGGGGATCCAAGTGTCAACTTGTTTATGTCTTTCAGTAGAACTGTAGATGTCACTAATGCGGATGTAGATGAGCAAACTGACGTACAGGATGAAAAAAACAAATGAAGATGCAGAGGATGAGGAGAACGAAGATGTGGATGGGGAAGAATTGAATGACAGCGACGAAAACATTGAAAAAGATGACGATGTCAGTGGTGGCTATAGTGCGGGAAGTACTCTCGACCCTACTATAGACGGCAGTGAAGGTAGTGGTGAAGATTACGATTTCAACAAGTGGAATGATTTGATTGTAGAAGAATATGGAGTTGGCCATGTTGACGAGGATGTCTGTGACATTCCACCGACCGTGGAACCAGCAGGGGAATTCAGTCGTCTATTGGCAGAGTGTACGACCACAAGTCAACGTGTACGTACAGGAGAAACCAGTGTGAATTTGGGTGACAGTCAGCTAACTATGAATTCAACCCGGACGTGTCAACATGGATTGCTCCAATGTACGTACACTAGAGAATGTGTACGAGACACAGGATGCGAAGGTGAATTTGTTACGTATACGGATACCGATGTTAATGGTAGAGACGAAGTCAATGGAGAGATTGGTGTGGATTTGGATATCGGAGGTTCAGAAACTGGTGTCTTAAATGAAACTGATCTCCGTATACAACCTTCGGTTGAGTCTTACGAAGTGTAGAATGGATTTTCTTTATTACATAGTGGAGAGCCGGAGATTCTCGATAATGATGCAGCTCCAGTCTTTGATGATTTAGCCAAAGTTTGATGTGATTCTACAGAAGTTGAAATTACTACGACTGGTGAGACATTGTATGTGGGTAGTGTGTTTATGAACAGGCAAGTCATACAACAAACTATGGCTTATCTTGCACTCAAAGTTTGCTTTTGCTACAAGCAAACTCAGTCTGATCCTAGAAGATTGGAGATGGCTTGTGTGGATGATAATTGTCGGTGGAATTTGTCTGCAAAGGTTGTCAAGAATTCAGAATGTTTCAAAATCACAAGTACCTCTATTGAAGACTATGTACGTAAACATGTAATACTGTGTACGTGAGAAACGAGGTAGTGATCATGACAGAGAGAATGGTGTTATTACCACCATGTGTAGGGTCTTGCCAGGAGATAAATAAAACTATCACAAAAAAGTGAGCTTGGAACATTTTTTTTATTCATAGTAGCGATCTAAGTGTAAATTGTATCGTTTTTTCCAACCCGTTAAAGAAAGTGTGAATAGTGTGTGCATGATGGATAACTTTACTGATGAAACTAACCATGAGTCGGAGGTGAAAACAATGAAGAAGTAGATGAGGAAGAAAAAATAGAGGGCAATAAAGAGGATGAAAAGAAAGAAGATGAGGATGACGAAGAGAAGAAAGAGGACGATAAAGATGACGACTATGAACAATAGTAAAGGTAATGACGAAAATTATATTACAACAAGTGGACTGCTTTTTTTGTTGAAAAATATGGGATATGATATGTCAGGAATGTTGGTAACACTCAACTTACTGTGGGGCTAGCATAAAAATTCAGTTTATTACTAGAAACATGTACGTATACTAATTAACGTGTACGTGATTTATAAAGCCCCATTGGTTTACGTAATTAAAGTTGATTATTCGACACATGTACGTATACTACTTCACATGTACGTAATTAACGTACAATATTAACACGTCCACATAATCAAACCAACGTACACCGTAAATTGTATATACGTACACAAAAGAAATTCACTGAAGGGTATAATTGTAATTGTGCAGTCATCTTCCACATGAGTATCTACTTCTGCAACCCTAAATATGCAGCCGTCATTAATCTTTATCTCAGAATCTCATTTTTTTAACGTTTTGAATGTTTTTTACATACAAATCTTGTAAATCTAGTATATTTTAAGTTTGAAAAACTAAAGAGTTTGAGTTTTGTTTCATTGTTCGATGGTTACGTTAAGTCAATTACGTCGGAAGAACAATTGCTTTCTAACCATTCTCTATCATTTTTTCCAATTCGCTGGAAATCTCTTAATCTATTTAACTTTAATCTCTCTACTTGATAATGAAGCAAAATCAATGACTCTCCAGAAATTAACCTCTTCGTCGGATAATCAGTAACTTGCTCTTCGCCGGATATTAGACTTGAATGAGATGTTTCAAATCAAGTTGCAGAACAATTGAAACGGAGATTTCGAAAGACGAAGATGGATGAATGAATTTCGAACAGAAATTTGACTTCTCTCTCGAAGCTCTCTGTCTCTCTCTCGTTCTTCTTCTTTGTTTTCTTTGTATTTTTTTTTTAATTAATTTAAAACCAAACAGCAAACCAAACGAAAAGAAACTAAACCAGGAGCTACTGTGCTGTTCGATTTCTTTTATTAGGGTTATTTTGGTCAGAATCTGATTTAATTGTCAAATCCTGAAAGCTAAATTTCAGTTTGTCAAAACGTGAGACAAATATTCAAAACTGTCCCTTTAGTGAAAATTTCTTTAAATATAATCTTCCTCCGATTAGATAGTGGAACTCCATTCTACTGCTACTACAGAGTTTCCAATAGACTAATGCGCATAAGCAGGTTTGGCCCTTATATAAAATTCAGCAAACCGGTGCTTTATGCATCAAATCAATTATGATAAGTCTACAGTGGTTTATGTCACAAGTGTTGGGTCTATCCTGGAAAACCCTTTTTTTTTTTACGTTTATTTTTGTTTTATAAATAGGACATAAAGGATGACAAACAAACAAAAAATAGGACATAAAAGAGACTTTGGGCCGGACATACTCATAAAAAGCTCATGCGTGGCTTGGTAACTCCTTCAACTCCGCATACTCATTATATTTAGCAAAAATTGTGTCTAATGGACTTTCGTAGTTTTAATTCTCATTATAAATAGAAAACCCAATTTAGAAATCAAAGTTTCCCCAAAAAAGTATAACCTTTCTACGAGGAAAAACAAAAAGTAACAACTACTTTAAGTTTGCATTTACATAACCTATATACACACTTTTCATCGTTTCTTTTAGGGTCTTTCAAAATTAAAACTTGAAATAATTACAAAAATAAAACAAAAAGAAGAATAAGAAAAGACATAGCGATAGCGTATGCTTTGCATGGTCAGAGCTCAGAGGTTTCCTCATGCATGCAGAAGTGGACCCGAATAGCTTCCCATCTTCATCAACCGAGTGGACCCAGTTCGTAGCACCGAGTTGACTCAGAGATTCTCTCCGAGTCAAAATCTCCTCTTTCACCGTTTTCTTCGCCGTGCTTAAACCATGTCCTCTCGCCACTTGAATGTCATACTTTTACGTTTCTGCATTTAGAGAATATCATAAACAGAGGAATCTTGATTGTTCTTAAAATTCATACAACCTAATGTAATTTACCTTTTATCATTATCATGAACAATACAAGATTTACTGGTTCCTGTCCGCGGTTGGTGTGCCGTCAATGGTGGCCGAAGGAGACGAGTTGGGAAGATTATGGTTGACCATCAATAATGGCCAAGGACGGTGTTGACTTCCCACACCAAGAAAGTCTCTCGTGAAGCCTCTTTCATCAACTTCCTTAGTTTTGATATTCTCTCCTTGTTTGTTGTTGAAGATAGAGGTCATTAGACCAAAAGTCTTGCTATTGTTTGAGCTTGATGATGATGATCTCTTTGATCCCATTTGAGCTGCCTTTTGTAGCAATGCCGTGGCTGACATTGATGCTATATGTCCACAGTCTTGGTTATAATTATTAGTGTTGTTGCGTGCTTCCGTAGAGAACAAAGAACCATTACTAATCACATTCTTGATCTCACGTTCTTCTTGATTCTTGGAGATTCCCCTTTGGAGAATGTTGTTGTTCTTGTTTTCATTGAGAAGCCATTGGTGAGATGATTGTCCTTGTAAATGCCATAGATTTTGAAGGGAGTCAGATGCACTACGAGGTGATGGTGATGATGAGGACGCAAAAACGTTGGTTGGTAAGGTTTGTCCCAAAAAGGCAATGTTATTGCGATGGATATTGAAACCGGGTTGGTCCAATTGAGAAGATGTAGTATTAACTTGTCGTTGTTGATGATTTTGATTGATGTTTCCAAGATTGACTTCCCCATCCAGGGGATTGTTCAAATATGCCGGTGCCGGTGCGGCTGGTGCTGGTGGAACTGAGACGAATCTAGCATTCTCTTCAGCTAAGGCGTCACAGAATGCTCTATGTGTGATGAAACTATCTTTCCTGTTCAAATTCAATCATCCAATATACTAATTCAATAACGTTACATATATATAATCAGAGATCTTAATTGATTTTAGTTAAAGCCAGTTGGTTCATTAATTAAGCTCATGTTTTACACTAACGGTTGTATAAATTAAACATTTTTTTTTTGAATTTAAATTTCGCTCTTTATCAAAAAAAAAAAATGACTTTAAAATTAGTGTTGTAATATACCTGGAAAAGAGGGTACCACAGTCACATCTGTATTCTCTAGTACCACAAATCTTGCTATGAGCTTTCCAATCGGACATGACAGCATATTTCTTGGAACACTTGTCACATTTCCACTTTTTCTCACCATGTTTTCTGCTGAAATGCTTCTTGATTCCGGTTAAGTCACCGAGGGCTCGGGCCGGGTCATGGTGTACGCAGCTCTTCTCTGGACAGATGTACACTTTTTTCTTCACTTGCTCCTTGTTTGTCCTTTGCTTTAGCTTCCATGGAAGGTTATGGCCTCTCCGGTGAAGCTGAAGGTTCTGGTCTCTCTTAAACCCTTTGTTGCAAATCTCACATATGAATCGATTTGTTGCCATGAGGGAGTTTGGCGATAGAGCAATGACTTCTGCATCTGGATCTGGTTTTTAAATTTAATTTACCAATGATTGAGTATATGATAAGGAAACATGACAAGAGAAAGGAAAAAGAGATCCAAAGCTGGAACAAGAATATTGTTCTAAAAAATAAAAATTATCAAGAAATTCATCTATTGTGTATATTAAAAGTCTAAGATTTCGATTAAGTGTTTATATATACATACCTGGATTTCCCGGGAGATTTCTCTTCCTCTTGGCTGAGTTAGAGGAGGTAGGATTAGGGTTAGGGTTAGGATTTGGGGTGATGTGTTCTTGGTGAAGGACATAGCTGGGAAATGAGAGGTGATGATGATCATCTGGCATCATCATGTTGATATTGGTTTAGTTGAGAGACAGAGAGAGAGAATTTCGAAGTAAGAAGACAAAAAAGGTGGACAGAGAGATATACAGAAAAACTCTTTAATTTGTCATACAGTTCTCTACTAAATCAAGTAAAATTCTGAGAGCAAGAAGACAGAGAGAGTTATGAAGAAGAAAACAAATAAGAATGTAACTAATTATATATTTCCAGTATAATATATAGAGAAAAAAAAAACCACCTAATTTAAATATAGAATCTTAACAATTACACTAATTTTGAAGCTCGAAATATTATTTTCTTATGGCTGTTAGCGTACAAGAAGTTCAACTATTGCTTTGAAATTTTAGCATGTAAGAATTTGGACTTTAGATAATAGTCATCGGTTTTTATATATAAAGAATTCTTATTTCAATTAATTGATGAATGTTTTACACTATTTTCTTAATATAAATCCCACAAGACTTATAGAGAAGTAAACGATAGATATTTCTAAGTTTGATGACTTGAAAAAATGGGCATCCTATTTTTTTCCAAGAAAGTTTCAAAAGTAATTTTTTTTTTTTGGGAGTCGTCGGTACCAATTTTAATATAATAGAATTTTGTTTTTTATTTGTGATAGTAAGCTTTTGGACACTTGCAAAGAGTCCTGTAGCATAAAACCAAAAAGAAAGCTGGCGAAGAGGGAATCTCTCTCTCTTCACACACGACTGTTCTTCTTACAAGTCGGTCAGCGATAGACTCAAACTGGACCACTTTCTATCTCTAATTCTCTATATACTAGTTTCATCTACGTATTAGGTAACGTAAGTATATATACATACTCAAGTCAAGTGTACGTACAATCTTCAATTGTATAAAAATAATTACAGACTGTATAATTTATCTATGAGTTTTGTACGCAAGAATTGTGTCTCTTAAAACTTGATGACATTTCTAACTGTGTAGGCTCTTTCACTATTTCTGAATCTCATTTATCCCAAGACCAAATCAGTTCGATGATAAAACCAAAAAAAGAAAAAAAGAAAAAAAAAATCAGTTCCATAAATATATATAAGAAAAACCAATAGCTAGGTTGAACCAAGGTTATGTACGAGTACAAACAACATAAGTAGATTTCTTCAGACCTCTGCAATATTTACAAAACATTGCAGAGGTCTGAAGAAACAATATGGCTAGTACATGTACTTAAAATTATGTACATGTACTACCCACAAAAACAATTTTAAGTAAAAATCTTAAGATCCTAATTTTGCAAGATCGTAACTAATAAACTTCTGTCCGTTTTTACTTTTCAGCTTAGTTCGTTAGATAAATTATTTTGTACTCTGGTCTCCCGTACGATGATACTATGAGATTTAGATCCATTACTTATTTTATTTATTAATAAATAGAAAAATTCTTTTAATTACTTTTTGACTTTTTAGGTAATTATATCATGAGATCAATTTCATGATTTCTTTATTTTATCTAGAGTCTTTAAGAACCTAGGTAAGTTGCTGATCTTGTATCCTAACAACTTCTTGGGTAAGAAAGAATAAAATCCAAAAGAAGTGATGTAGAGTTCTAAAATAGACACAAGGTCGACAAGTTATGGATGGGTCCCATAGAAAACGAAGATAGATCTCATCTGATTATTCAGACAAAGAGATGACTGTTCCTTCTCCCTATCCAAAAATTTCTCTGAATTTTTCTTTACTTTAGTTTCCTTTAGAAAACCATGATTTAAGCATTTTGAATAGAGATAATCTTGTGCTAGAACAAACAAAGAAGGATTCTTAGACATTGTTAATGATCATGCAGTTGATTATCTTACTAGTCTTGAATTTGAAGGGCATATCATTAATAGGTTAGGATGAATGGTGATATAATACCTACGAAAAGTCCATTGATTCTGTAAACGAAAATAACTTTTGGATTTTGTTTGTCTTATTGGAAATTACAAACCACAATAATAACAAACAGATCTTAAAACTTATATGTCTACTAAGTATATTGTTGGCTCGCAAAGCAATAGGATGTTCAAAAAGTTTCTGACCCAAAATAAATATCAGCTTGGGACTAAACTAATTCCGTCTTGGGCTTTTCAAAATTTTGTAGGATAAATAATTTTAAACAAAACACATAAAAGTGGGTAAAACATAGTTGATTTGGAAGAAAAAAGTTCTTCTTACTTCACTAATAGAAAGAGTTTGGTGTTGCAGTTTTTATTTATTTATTGTTTATGTTGAATTTTTTTGATCATCCGCTACTGCACGCAACCGTAAACGCTAGTGGAAAAGAATTTTTAAAATTTAGCGATTTTGAGTGATCTGGAACGGTAATTATGATTGGTTTAAACGCTACGTTTGCAGGTGGTAACCGGAAACACCTTGGTTATCATCTTCACCAAATCTAAAAAGTCTGTATAAAAAAAGCACGTCTTGGTTATCAGTGTCAATCATGCACCTCATCGCCCTGACAAGTGCTTCCACTTCGGTATGTAGTGGAGTTAGGCTCCTTCGGAGGTTGGGAGCTCCCATTGTTTGCGATTCTCTGTTAGAAGACGAGCAGTACCACCCTGTTCCAAAGTACTTATCACTTCTTTTCCAGGAACCATCAACGTAGCATCGATAACTAGAACTTATTGGCACATGTGAGTTGAATCTTCCCCGGTTTCGACTATCAATTTTCGAAGAACCCTGATTTTCCGTGTGAAGCTCAACTTGAGCTAACTACCACGCTTGTGCCTGATTTTCCATTAAACGCAGTACCTCCAATGGGTTTTTATCCACAATTTCATAGATCTTATCATTTCTTGCTTTCCATATGTACCAAATTATCCACGGAAACGAATATGTATCGACTTCTGGGGTGTTCTCCAGAATAGATGATCCATATTCATGTTGATGAAAACCGTGGGAAAAATCTCTGGTGCCGTAGGAACTTGTAATAGCTCCCAAATCTGACGAGCTGGTGAGCATTCAAAAATTGCATGATTAGTTTTCTCCTTTGTTTCCCACGTCTACTACAATCCATATCACAGTTTATGCCCTTTTTCGCATATTTGCTGTAACCAATATATAACCGGATATAATTTGCCACAAAAAGTGTTTTAACTTTGGCGGGCATTGCACTTACCAAGTGTGAACTTTCAGCGGTTTTGTATCGGTACCAAAAACTTATGTTGAATTGGTCTTCTGGTTTTCTAACCGTGCCGTATAATATCCAGCCTTAACTATATATTTACCAGTTTTTGTAAAATGCCAACCTAAAGTATCATCCTTCGTTGGCGTACCCAAAAGTAGTGCACTTACCAATGGTACATCTTCCGGATCAAATTTCAAAGATCAATTTGATATTTTCAAAGATCAATGTTCCATGATACTCTCAAATATGAGTTTTGTCATCTGAACGACAATGCCTCCAAAGAAAATAAGCTACCAATAATTATGCATGTTTCTCGTTAGGAATTTTTTTATTTTTTATATAGATATTTTTTTAAACATTCTATTTCACATTATCTTATAAAATAATATATTGCAACTCTAAAACGGTATTTATCATAAAACAAAGATAATATACTTTTTATTACTTGAGAAAATGAATAATTTAATTTTCAGGAAAAGAAAAAAACAAAGATGATAATACAATGTTATAAAATCTAATCGATTAGTTTCCTTTATATAAATAAACATATCACAAATGGTTAATGAAATACAGTGTATTCGTTTTCTCTCAAAGGTAAGATGTCCAAGGAAAAGTAACATATGTATGCATAAAATCCAAGAAAAAGCAATATAGATCGTCTACTAAAAGGATCATAACTATACACGATTATAAATACCATCACAAGACTAAATAGAAGTTGTATAAACACTTAAAAATGAGTGGGAACAAGCAAGTATGCGTGTCCATCTTAGCAGTGATGATTTTGATGCTATCAATTTCCCAAATCACGAAAGGTAATAATGATCTTGCGTTTGCTCCAGTGTCGGAGAAAGGGTTGTTGCCAAAACCAGTGTCTTGTGCGGGAGACGCAGAAAAAATTCCAGGTTGTGTTGAAGCAGTGAAGCATTTCAAATTTAAAAATGTCAAAAAAGAATGTTGTTTCGTTCTACTTGGTCTTACCGAAGATTGTTTTGGAATTTTGTTTCCTATGCGTTTTGCGTATCGTGAAATGCTTAAGATTACATGCAAAATTATAGGCTTTAAGCCACCTTCTTATTAAGTTGTTCTTTTTGTTTTTTAATGTAACACAACTTTAGTTTATGTAATTCGTATTTACAATAAAAAAAATCATGGGCATATTTATTTACGATGATGGACGGGACTCGCTCTTGGGTGTGTCAAAAGAGATAACCCAACCCAATCTATCCTACGACCGAATGGGTTGAGACACAAATTCTTTATGAGTTTACAAATGAGTTTGAGTCATCTCATGAACCTATTTAGTTTGATGGGTAAATACTAAAAAGCTATATAGATCTACCCAAGAAAATAATAATAACTAACTAATTAACAATTTTCATAAACATAATAACAATTAATTAAGATTTATAATTATAATATATTATCATTTTACCATGCTTTATTATCAAAGACATAAAATCGTCATATTCCATCATCATCATACCACCATCATATTATCATCATCATCACATCAGTATATATATATTCTCCCGTTTTGGACAATTATATAACACAATTGCGTTTTTGTTGAAATTTTTAGTGAAAGTTTACTAATCCACGTTTTAGAGGAAAGTTTTAAAGAATCATAACGTACAAATTTTGGATTCTCGTTTTTGGTAGATAAACTAAGTATTTGTGTTGGAAAAATTACGGATACATACGTTTAGTAAAAAATTACGGATTCATGTTTTAAGCGAGAAAATTAGAGATTTTTCTTTTTGTGGGTAATTGTGGATTCCCAATCTAGCGTAAAAATTATGGATTATCGTTTTTAGCAGGAAACTCATGATGATGATCATGATGATGATGATGATGATACTGGTAATATGATTATTGTAATGATAGTATGATGATGATGATGATTATGATGATGGTGATGGTGATGATTGTATGATGATGGTATTATGATGAGTATGATGATGATGATGATGATAGATGACAACGGTATTATGTTGATAATGAATTAATTGATGGGTTAATGGTTAATCCATAAACCCATTACAACCCAAATCAAATAATTCATTAAACCATTAATCCATAAATGTTTAAGGTCAAAGTATTTCAAACCGTTAAAGTTAATGGGCCGGATCGTGTCAGATCAGATCGACCTATAAAATTTAATTCATTTTGATATCCTTACATGTCTAGTTAATTTGACACAAGTTTTTATTACTCAAGAATAATTCAAGAGACAAAAAAAAAGGAGATTATAACCAATATCGAGGCGAAGAAAATAATTTTTTGGCCGAAATAAGATATAATCATTTTTTTTTCTCTTTGAATGAATGATTATATTAATAGTCTTATCTGTCATGTGCTTATATATTGGGTAGTGTTATGAATTTTGTGTATTCTTCTTGATTAATGAATGAGATTACAACTTATATATATACACACATGGCCGGCCCTGAGGGGAGCGACGTGAAGCAAATGTATGTGGCCCCCAAATTTTCTTAAAAATTTAGCAAGAGAAAATATATGCAAATAGGCCCCCCCCCCAAAAAATTTATTTTTATGTAAAGGCCCCCAAATTTTATAACTGTTCATAATAACCTTAAAAAAATATTTTGTTGCTTTGGCCCCTAAATTTCTAGGACCGGCTCTGTACACAATACGGGAGACAAATCCCAATTGGACTAGGAAACACTAAAGCCCACTAAAACTAACATAAACCTTCTTTGGCCTTGGTCGGTTGGGCGAGTCTTCTAGAAGCTAGACATGGACATGGGTCACGGTTATGGAGTCCATCCGTTATGTGATTTACAACACTCCCCCTTGGATGACATAACCGTGTAGATGCCAAAGGATCTCAGTAATACGCTTGGGGATGCTGCCTCATTAAAACCTTACCAGAAAAACCCATAGGGACAAAACCATGGTGAAGGAAAAAGAGTACAGCACGTATTACTCCCCCTGTTTTGGTCATCCCTGAAAGTCCTTAAGTCTCCGCATTCCAATTTGATGCGTGAGCTTTCTCAATGTCGATGTTGGTAATGCCTTAGTGAATAGGTCGGCTGAATTGTCATTGGATCGGACCTGCACCACTTGAACTTCTCCATCCATTTGTAGATCATGTGTGAAGAAGAACTTAGGTAGGATGTGCTTCGTCCGATCTCCCTTGATCTAACCTTCTTTGAGCTATGCGATGCAGGCCGCATTGTCCTCGTACATGACCGTTGGTCCCTTCTCATCGTCCATTCCACAATTAGATCGTATGTGTTGAGTCATCGACCTCAACCACACACACTCACGGCTGGCCTCATGTATTGCCAAGATCTCCTCGTGATTGGATGGAATGGCTGAGATGGTTTGCTTCATTGAACGCCACGAAATCGCGGTTCCACCGTGTGTACACACATAACCTGTTTGTGACTTACCATTATGCGGATCTGATATATAACCTGCATCAGCAAAACCAACTAAACCTTCTTTGTTATGGTTAGTATAGAATAGGCCCAAATCAACAGTTCCTTGTAAATAGCGTAAAAGATGTTTAATTCCGTTCCAGTGCCTTTGGGTCGGACATGAGCTAAATCTCGATAGGAGGTTCACGGCAAAACAAATGTCTGGTCTAGTGTGGCTAGCCAAGTACATTAACGCTCCTATGGCACTGAGGTATGGCACTTCAGGACTGAGAACTTCTTCCTCGTCCTTCTTTGGACCGAATGGATCACTATCCAATCCGAGGCTTCTCACAACCATTGGGCTGCTCAATGGGTGGGCCTGGTCCATATTGAATCTCTTGAATACTTTTTTAGTATATGCCTTTTGATGCACAAGGATTCCATTATTCACGTACTCAAGTTGCAATCCCAAACAGAATTTTGTCTTGCCTAGGTCTTTCATCTCGAATTCTTTCTTTAGATATTCGACTGTTTGGGCGATTTCCCCAGAGGTTCCAAGGATGTTCAAATCATCCACATATACTGCTATTATCACAAATCCTTTGTTTGCAAACTTCTTTATGAAGATACATGGACTGATGGGATCATTCTTATAGCCTTCTTTGACTAGGTACTCACTCAATCTATTGTACCACATGCGCCCACTTTGTTTCAGTCCATAAAGCGATTTGTTCAGCCTTATGCAGTATTGGTCTCGAGACCCTTTCTTATTTTTATCTTTGAGCTCAATACCCTCTGGTAATCTCATATATATTTCATTATCCAGTGGACCATATAGATAAGAGGTCATAACATCCATTAACCGCAAATCAAGATTTTCTCTTATTGCCAGACTTATTAAGAATCTAAAAGTCGTTGCATCCACCACATGGGAGTATGTTTCTTCAAAATCTATCCCTGGTCTATGTGAGAATCCTTGTGCTACAAGCCGTGCCTTATGTCTCACGATTTCATTATTCTCATTTCTCTTTCTCACAAAGACCCACTTGTGTCCTACTGGTTTTATCTTAGATGGTGTCCTTAAGGTCGGACCAAACACATCCCTTTTCTTTAATGAACTTAACTCTACGTTTATGGCTTCTTTTCACTTTAGCCAATCTGATCTTTGAGTGCCCTCTAATATAGACGTGGGTTCATGATCCTCATTCATTTCAAGTGCTACCTTATATGCAAATATTTCATCGATGTCGACATCTTTGCGGTTCCATTTTATTCCAGACATGATATAATTTATTGAGATCTCATTATTATCTATCCCTTCAGGATCATGAGGATTGGCGTCCCAAATCTCTCTATTCGGTTCCTTAGGGTCTGCCGCGGCCATGTCTATGGTTTCCTTAACCTCGTTTCCTATTGCACGTTTCTTTGATTCTCGAGGATTTTTATCTTTGGAACCTATTGGTCTACCACGTTTCTTACGTGCGTTAGACTCGGTAGCAACTTCATTGATTCCCTTTTGGACATCAATACGTAATGGTGCATTACAAGCTGGTATGTACGATTTTGTAACTTTCTTTGGGTTAACAAAGGAATCCGGCAATTCATTAGCTAGCTTTTGCAAATTTATTATCTTATGGACCTCTGATTCACATGCCAGAGTCCGAGGATCTTGCCAATTTAAGGATGTTTGATTCCATGATATTTCTTCGACCATCTTGTTCGTCTCTCCAACTAAAGTAGGAAATTCGGATTCATTAAAATGACAATCCGCGTATCTAGCCTTAAATAGATCACCCGTAGTTGGCTCTAGATACTTAATAATGGTGGGAGAATCAAATCCAACATATATTCCCATCCTCCTTGGAGGTCCCATCTTTGTTCTATGTGGTGGAGCAATCGGTACATATACGGCACACCCGAAAATCTTTAGATGGGATATGTCTAGCTCATGACCCGTGAGTAATTGGGATGGTGAATATTTATGTTCACTAGATGGCCTTATGCGTATAAGCTCTGATGCATGTAAAACAGCGTGTCCCCAAGCGGTTACTGGAAGCTCTGACCTCATGAGTAATGGTCGAGCTATCAATTGGATTCGTTTAATGAAGGATTCCGCTAATCCATTCTGTGTATGTACATGTGCCACGGGATATTCCACACTTACCCCCATGGACATACAGTAGTCATTAAACGCTTGGGACATGAATTCACCGGCATTATCTAGACGTATAGTTTTAAGCGGAAAATCTGGAAAATGGGCTCTCAATCTTATGATCTGGGCCAACAACCTAGCAAACGCTTGGTTTCTAGAGGATAATAAACAAACATGCGACCATCTTGTCGATGCATCAATGAGGACCATGTAATATCTAAATATCCCACATGGTGGGTGTATTGGTCCACATATATCCCCTTGTATCCTTTCCAGAAAGTTTAAGGTCTCTTTATTTACCTTAGCCGGTGATGGCCTTATAATGAGTTTCCCTTGTGAACATGCTTCACACGTGAGATTCTTAGGGATAACTTTTTTCTCATTTAGGGTGTGCCCCCTTGAATTTATCATAAGCTTACCCATCATACTATGACCCGGATGGCCAAGCCGGTCATGCCATAAAGTGAATTTCTCGATATATTAGCTTCGATCATATCGATTTTAGCATAGTAGAGACCAGTGGATAATGCGGGTATAGTCTCTAGGACTTTCTTATGTCCTTGGGTGATCTCAATTATATTTGGGAATTCTTTGTTTCCTTCACCCTTTGTTTCAATATGGAAACCATTCAATCTTATATCTTTGAAACTTAATAAGC